CATGCGCATTGCGCAGACGGTCATCAACACAGTCACCAGGCCACACAATGTTGGTCTCCGACAGTTCTACTAATGCCTGCATGGTTGGTCCGATGAAAATAGCAACATCTGTGTTTGCAAACACGAACTGGCTTCTAACTGCAACGCACATAAAACAAACGTGATTTATATCGTCAAAGTGCACTTGCAGCAGCATCCGGCACAAGCGTCAAATCAAAGACATGCAGAAAGTCGTAGAACAACATTTGGGGGTGAAAGCCAGGAATCCGAACCCATCCGTTGGGTCTACAAATCTGGCAAATGAAATCTTCCAAACCGATCAGCGACAATCGATGGCCAGCTCCTGGCCCAAAGTATGTGTACAAGTTCTGTGAGTCCCTCACCCTAGATGCAGAACACATCCAGCAGACCTGCTCTGAAACCCAGGACACTCGCATATGGAAGGCCTTCTGAACATATTTCTCATCGCCGCGCATTACAACAAGAATCCCTCTGTAACCGTTCGCCAGGAGTTTGCCAGCTTTGTTCCGGCGGTGTGGGAGAATCTCTGACCAAGGGCCATGCTGTAACCATCTGCCACACATCAGTTCAGTGTAGCTCCATGCCAGCCAACTGTCTAAGCTGTCCAAGGTCTCTGAACATACTCTGTTGTTGTCACAACAGTAGGACAGAAAACGGTTGTCCCATGGAGAGCAGTTCCCAACCAACAATGAGCCAAAGCTGGTCACCATGAATGATCTCCGTCGATGGGATTCTGCATCATCCCCGTGGCAAATGAGGGGTATACATTTCGATAGATCTGTGGCCTCGCATGTGGACCACAGTAGTTGCATGTATACTATGTGCATGAAGCCTAACCTACTTTCTTTCAAGTCACTGGGTTCGAGAGGACCGGATGCTGCTTGAAGAAATCGGTGTCCCTCATATGTGCCCAAAATCGATCGATTGCCTAGGCAATGAAAGTGAATTGCCAAAAGTTAGCATATGTGACGTGGTCAGAGAATGCATCCAAGCTACCCCTGGTTCTCCCAAAAAGCGCTGCTGAAACAACTGGAAGTCGTAACTGTATATCGACGCAAACCTAGGATAAATGCATGAGCTCATGCACATATCAATGCATGCACTGTTGCACTCACCTAAGCAACGAGCCAGGGGGCACTTCAGAAGGCAAGAAAACATGCCAGCTACCCAAATAGTGTTGCTGCTCTGCAGAAACATCTTGAAGGACCACTGGCACCCTTGGAGATGCAGTGGACTGATTTTGAGATAGTATTTTATCGATCTATATACATTCAGGCAGTGTGATACAGCTGAAGCACTCCAATGGCATTGGCAACATGTTTCTCCATTCCTGCTTGTAGACCCAATTCCAGAAGTTTCTAGGTGCATTCCGGTCGTTCTTCTTGGCCTTGATGTTCAGAAGGTCCACCAAGTTAGGCCTCAAATCCAAAGCACACTCCATCAGCTAGGTTGTTAAGGGGGCTCATTTGAACAAGGACTGAATCACACAAATATACAATCGGCAAGTTGCGGAAGAAGCCTTCGAGGAAATCTTCTCCGAATCACTGATAGCAAATTCATCAGGGTGGATACACTAACCTAGGCCGAGGTATGATCGTCAGTATATATAATTAAGCATGGTACCAACTCGAAGTATATAGTACAATTCCAGCTAGCTTGCAATTCACCAGTTCTTCTTGCAGTCGAAAGACCCGTCGTCCAAGCTCGAGAAACTCTTCAACCAGGTCCATGGTTGCAACAGCTAAGTAAGGATCGATAAATTATGTTTTCCTTTGCATGCATGGTCACACCTGGAAAAAGGATGAAAAAGGGTATGGGTTCAGGGTGGATCAATGGATCTTTGTGTTTCCACAACTGTCCAATATCCCACTCAACTCCCCTTGAGTGGCCCCTGCGAACGTGCACGGTGCCTGTGCCTGTGCAGTTGCCACTGGGCGCAATCCACTCTCAAAGCTCCACACAGTGATGAGGCACAGGGGTGAAGCGCATGTGGGTGGGATTGGCTGGAGTTGCATTTATGGGTCAACACTTGTTCGTGAAATGTTCGATTGAATTCAATCCTTTTCACGATCTATGGAGATCATGTTCCAAAGCTGTGCTACTCTGTCAGTAGCCAGAACCCCTGAAAACACCAAAGCTATGGGTTCACTTGCACACGATTCTGCGCCTATGTGACGCCAAAGCCATGGAGTGTCCCCTATGGCAGACTGCCAGAACTCGGGCTGATAGCAATATGTGCATTCACACATTGGACAAAGCCCGCTGCATACTTGCTGGTTTACACAGTTTATATACAAAGTGAATCAATGGTAGCATGCAGGGTGCACACACTAGCTACTAGTTCGAACCAAGCATCACGCGAGGACTCAAGACCAGCAGCTTGCAGCCAAACATTTATGGTTGAACCCTGAGTGATAGGATGCCAAGCCTGGACTGTGGGCATCGAAACAAATTTTACCAAGTGGCAAGCATCTAGCAAGTCTATGATTTACCTATGACCTATGACTGTTGCAGCAGTAGAATAGCACCCCAACAGCCAATCCTCAGTCTGAAGCAGAGCCTCCGTCACTGCCACTTTCAGCGGCAGGCGCCTTGCGTTTGGGGGGCCCTTTAGCGTTCTGCACTCGACGCTTGGCATCGCGAACATCAGTTTCGAGCACCTTCAAAAAGGGCTTGTGGCTTTCAATAAAGGCCAACAGATCATCAGCAACAATTTCTGAAGCTGGCTGATCAAGCTTCGCGAGGACTTCAGATTGACACCTATCCAAGGTGGGTTCATGAGCTCGAAGGACCCGGACCTCAATAGTTAACTACATGACTGGCCGGTATCGATCAGCTCTATAATATGAGGTTTGGTTGATATATATATATGGCTCTTCAAAGTGATAACGTCACTTAAGCCTCCTAAGGATCAGGAACCTTGATTTTGAAGAAGCTGGTATAAAGGTACACCTGTGCATGCACAGCCTTCCACTACCTAAGAGATCAAACGAATGCCAAGATGCTAGCTCAGAAGAATTCCTGACATCATAATCGGCAATGTCCTTGATGCAAGCAGGAATCTCATTTGCCATCCTCTTGAACCTTGGAAACGAGACACACGAATCGAAGGTAGGGAAAAGTTCATGGGCCAACCCTAACGAAAACTAAATCGATCCGCTAGGGAACTTGTTCGAGAGCGTTTTGCATTCCACTAACGCTTGCTGCTCAGGCGTTTTTTCTTTCTTCGCTTTCTTCGACTGGATGCGGCCAGTCTTGAGGTCCAACAAGCCTTGTCCTTCTAAGTTCCCCATGGCAACACCCAGCTGTTTGGCCACCAACGACTTCATGGCCTCATCCCGCACCCGACCTCCGGTCCCAATCGCAAGGTCATTCCGAGATCCACTGCTGGTTGTCTCCAGCACTTCTCGGAGGACTTTGTACATCTTGGCAGCTTCAACATTTGGTGCCTGCGGGTGGGGCACACCCTGCTGTCCTTAGAATATGCACGCATGCATGCTGGATGATACAGTGCTTCAATTTATCGAGGTGGTTTGATCAATACGCTCCAGTGTTTGCTTAGGAGCCACGACACAGCTCATCGATAAATGCTTTGGCCTCTTTGCTTTTCCCATAGATCTTGTACAGCTGCAGTTTGGTAACCTGGTTCATGTACATTAACCGATCGATGCTATGTTGCATGCATAACACATGTAGCTCACTTGCATACCTGATTGCATGCCCCGGAACAGTTACATAACGGTCAGAACGAAGTTGCTCAACCCATTTCGAGTACTTCTCCTCTACTGTAATGGAGTCCGTCTTGCCATCATTGAGAAGCCATTGTTTGAGCATCGACCACCTGATGGGAGGGATGGTACCTACAGATGGTCTATAGCTGCCATTGATAGAATGAGGTGAAACTGCAGCAAAGCTAGCACATGGTATCAAAAATGATCGGCCTCTCGGAATCGTTGGCCAACTGAAACTTTGCTAACAGTGCTGGTTCACAGGTTTTGACAATTGCCCTGCGCATGGCACTGTACTGTCGCTTCCTTTCGTCAGGAGGCATCTCACCCGGACAAGCCATTGCTTCCAAGCTTGCCTTTTCTTCAGGGGTGAGAATCTTTTTACGACTTGTCTTGGTCGAAGAACCTTCTGAGTCCTGCACGCTAAAATATTGTTAGGGTTGAGAGTTGAGGGGGGGCAGTTCTTTGGATGGTCATGGGGGCTATATTGTAGTCATGGTGCAACAGTCCTTGGCCATCGAAGTTGGAGGGCTCGATGTTACCGTCGACGGTGTCTCCAACATCTCAATGCTGGGCATAGTCTTGACCCTTTCCACTGGCGCAGGAGGAGATGGGAAGTCCAGGCGAGATGCCGCACGGCTGAGATCCTCCTGAGCACAGGCCGGCTGCAAGGGAATGGAACCATGGGATTCTTGATCATTATGTGACGGGCTTGCACATTCTCGAATAGTTGCATCCCACAAACAAGCCCCCACCCCACTCCTCTGTGACTTTGGACTTGATTTTCTTCTTCTCTGGGCTCTCACCTTTTGGTGCAACCGATCCTCGCTTGTCACCACGTTCTTTTGCAGGATCTTTTTTGGACTTTTTCTCAGAGACTGACTCAGAACTGCCAGTTGCAGTTGTAGATAGTTCACTGCATGCGCTCTTCCTTTTCTTTTCGGGTTCTTTGGGTGGCACTTCTTTCATATCTCGCAGAGTTGCTTTATCTTCTTCAGATCTTTCATCATGCTTGACAGCTTTCTTCTCTTTCTTTCCTCTCTTCTTCTCATCCTTCTCAACCTCCTTCGAACTCCTTTCAGCTTCTTTGATTGTCTCATCATGCTCCTCTTCCTCTTTGGACTTTGAACTTGCAGCCTCCTTCGAAGTCTTTTCATCCTTCTTTGCCTTTGCCTTCTTATCCTCCTTCTTGTCTTTCTTCTCATCCTTTGCACTCTCAACCTCCGATGTCATCGCAGTACCTTCTTCTCTGTCAGCATCCTTTGGACTTGTCTTCTCATCATTCTTGTCCTTTGATCTCTCAGAAGATTCCTTCTCTTTCTCAGTTCTCGCGCGCTCCTCGGAAGTCTTCTCCTCCTTCTTTGCATCACTAGTCTTCTTGTCCTTCT